GGGGGGGGGGGGGGGGGGTGAGTCACCATGTGGGAATGGGGAACTGAACTCGGGTCCTCTGGAAGCTCAGCAACTGCTCTTAAGCAGCTGAACTTCTCTCTAGCCCCAAGAAAGTTCCTTCTGACTTAGAAAAACAAGCCTGTGGGCTTGCAAGATTACCTCTGCAGTCCCAAGAAGTGCCAGTAGGTGGCAGTAGCACGATACCCGATACCAACGCGTTCCTGGATTGATCTCTTTATTGAAAGCATCCATCTTTTTTTGCTATCAAAGTTACAATGTTTATTTTTAGTGTGGCTCGACGGCCCCGTCTGTATGTAATTTAACAATATTGAAATCAAATTCTGATAGCAACTCACAGGGCTGTAAGCCCTATTAGGTTTCAATTAGCATTCACTCTGATCTGATTACAAGACTTTAGACAATCCACTGGCTAACAGGGAGACATTTAGATAATTGCAGCTGTCTGCAGTTATTACACGTGTTATCATTTTCACAGAGCGATCCTAGGAAAGAATGGGCCATGAAACCCATTGTGTTGGTAGACACAGGAGTGAGGACTGACTGGCACCAGGGCACCGTTAGTGTCCGTTATTGTGGGCTGATATTTAGGGGTGTTTTCCACTAGGGTGGACAGGAGGGTAGGGTGTGGAACCCTTCCGCCCTGTTCCAGATACTCTGAGTCTCCACCCTCAGTATTGTTTCACTTGGCAAAGAAAAAGAGGCATCAGCCACATCTACTTTTCCTCTCGTTTAGTTTAAAGTGAACACAACCTACACCCAAATCCACCTTCTACAAAGGCCTCACCCAGCAACTGGAATTAGGGTCTCGTGGCTCAACCCCCAGGATGTTGTTGGACACCAGCTGCATGCTGGCAGGGTGCTGGAGACAGGCTTCAATGTAAACGGAGCACCGGGAGAAATCACCTCATCCATCCGGCTCCTAGCCTAAGGTTCCGGACAACAAAATAGCTCTGCCCTCGGGGATTCTCAGACCCAAGGAAGTGACCTGCAGGTGACATCTTCGTAAGGGCGGGGCAGAGATGAGACACCTCTACAGGACAGATGGGGTACGAAAAGTCACTCTCTGAATTGGCCACCAGAAGCCAACTCAAAGCCAGAGAGAAAAAAAGTCACCAATGAAAACCCCCCTGCTGCTGGGTCGAAGTGACACACTTGAGAGGCAGAGGCAGGTGGGTCTCTGAGGCCGAAGCCAGCCTGGTCTACAGAGTGACCAGACAGAACAGCCACAGTTAGACAGAGAAACCCTGTCCCAAAAAGCAAGAAGAGGAAGGAGAAACAAAAGGAAAAAAAAAAAAAAAAAAAAAAAGAAGAAGAAAACTCAAGTGTTTTAAAATCCATAATTTAATATTTTGCCTGACCACAGCCACCACTGAACTATCTTGGTGGCCTTCTGTCACACACACACACACACCCCAGCGGAAAGTGCTGTCTGAGTACCTCCATTTGGTACCAGGAATGTGCACTTTGTCCTTCCTGCCCCGGTCCTTTCTCCTGACTCTGGGAAGCTGTGCTCAAGAGCAGCCCGGGACATCACGTGCTCACCCCATCCTTCTAACAACGGGCCTTTGGCAAAACTCAGCTCCTGGCAGTTAGGGATGGAACTTGTGCTTGGACTAAAGAAAAAAAGGCGGGGGGGGGGGGAGGTCAGCATTTTGAAAGCACCAAATTCATTGTCACCTTGAGCTTTTTCCTCTGGGGCAGAGGTGATATGATAGATTGGGGGCTTTTGCGCTCTTCTGGGGAGGGCCGGCCTACTGAGCGCTGCCTCGCGGTGCCCGTGGTCAGCCGGTCAGCCGGGAGCTGACCCAGGAATCCCCGCCTATTCTTAGCACCAATTCAACACCCTCGAGACAGCAACCCTCAAACATCTAGCCCTATGCTAATTTTCACTTTTGCTGTTCTGAGTCACCCAGCGCAGCCCCCACAAACTGCTAGACCTGAAGCTGAGAACAAAAAGACAAAGGGAGAGGACTGGGGCCTGCGACAGCGGATGTTGCCACGCTAAGCACTTTAGAGAGCCTTTCCGGGAGTGGTCACCGGAAATCCTATTGGAACGGTCGTCTGCGATCAGCGAACAGAGCCTGCACTGGAGAGACTCGGTCGTTCTCTAGGATTTCCTCTGCCAGGAAGCCTATCTAGGAAACAAACTGCTGTAGACATTATCTAATCAGAAAGCAAAAACCATTCTTCATATACCAATGGGCTTCTCACTTGCCATTCCAATTGCATGAATCTGCATGTCCTTTCAAACTCGGTCAAACTGTTGGCCTGATGGTTTGCGCTGGATGTGCTTCTGAAAGCGTCCGCAAGCATCTGGAAGGCTAGCTGCTGGACCTCACTAGCTGGCTGTACATGGCCGGAGATGGATCTGCGACTGTGTGGAGACCTGCCTGGTGGCCTCTCACCGACCGGCCTGATTCCGCTCTCTTCTTCCCAGCGTGCTTTCTCGAAGCCCTTCTCCCACAGAGGACTCACTAATGGAGAAGCCCTGCCGGGCGGACAGCGCAACCTGCGCACCTCTAACTCCAACACCAGGGCGACGGAAAGGAGAGAATCTTGAGTTTCGGGCCAGCCTGCGTTACGTAACAAGAATCTGTCTAAAAATTTAAAATTCAACAAGGATAATTGTAAAACAGAGCTTCTCGGTGCAAACTGAAGTTCCCTGAAGCAGCTGCACCTGTATTCAAGATCCTGCACCTCTGGGACAGCCAGGGCCTGGACAAGCCGCTGAGACACTTCTTCAACATATCAAAGCAGATGTGGCCACCAGGTTCTCCCAGCATCCCTACCTGCTGCAGGGGATGGCTGGCAAGCCCTGCTGCCTACCCTGAACTTTCCAGCCCGGGGGCTGGGGCAGCTCTTCCCCGTATAAGCCAGACATTTTAGTCACTGCCCCTTTTGGACTCTGGCCTCCTGACTGCTGCCCCTGCTTCCCCTCCCTCCCCTTCCCTTCCCTTCCCCCTCCCCACGTGGCTGAGGGTCAAGACCACGCTGGACTCTCCCGGATGTGTCTGCCTCTGGCTCTAATGAACTTTCTCCTCCACCATACACAGAAGCAGACTGTCCTTTCCTTTTTTGTTGTTGTTTCTTTTATTCATTCATTCTTTTCATCTCTAGCTGCTTTTAATAGCCACTTGCTATCACCCTCACGACCCAGCAAAACATCGCCTTGGCTTTTTCCTTTTTCTTCAGTAAGAGAGATGGAGACCAGGACCCTGAGAGGGCGAGGCGGGTGCTCTGTGGCTGAGCTATGGGTCCAGCCTCCCACTGGCTGGTCCTAAAACCCTTCAAAAGTCTCACTAAGCTTGACAGCCCTTACCTCCACCCACTCTGCAGCTCCAAGCCGGAAGAGCAGCCCCTAGACCCTCAGTGTCTGCCCGCCTTGCCCGGCTCCTACCTGAACATCCCACACGTGTGCTTTAGCGATACTTGCTCACAACTTTCCGCCCTGTGACTAAAGCTCATGCAGGTGATTGGGTTATGTGGGTAAGTGTGTTCCCCAGCCGTGGGCACTCATATTCCACAAGGAACTCTTTTGTTTGTTTGGCAGTACTGTGGGCTGAACCCAAAGTCTCAGCCATGTTAGACAAATGGTCTACCCCTATGCTATGTTTTGCATTTGGCTCTTGTTTCCTTAAAGCAGAGTTTAATCTCTCTCTCTCTCTCTCTCTCTATATATATATATATATATATACATATATATATATACATATACATATACATATACATATACATATATATATGTATGTATACACACACACATATGAGGGTTTTGTCTGCATGTATGTGTACACCATGGGTGTGCTTGGTACCCACGGAGGCCAAAAGGGGGCAGCAGATCTTCTGGAACTGAAGTTGGGGATGGTCATGGGCTGCCATGTAGACGCTGGGAACTGAACCGGGGTCCTCTGCAAAAGCAACAAGTGCTCTTAACTGAGGAGCCATCACTCCAGCCCCTATCTGACTCTTGTCCTGAAAAGTGGCAAAAGTACAGCCCCAGTGAGTCTCTGTAACTTGGGCTCCTCTAGGGGGGTGACTCACAGGTAACAGAGGAGGCCAGGAGTAGGGACCACGGGGGCCTGCCTCTAGAGTAGTGGCTCCCAACTTCCTGTTGCTGCCACCCTTTAATACAGGCCTTCAAGTTGTGGTGTCCCCAACCACAATATTATTTTGTTGCTACTTCATAACTGTAACTTTGCTACTGTTATGGATTGTAATCTGAATGCCTGATATAGGACCCCTGGGAAAAGGATGTTCATTCCCAGAGGAATTGAGACCCACAGTTTGAGAACCACTGCTCTGGTATCTGTTGCTCATGCTCTAATGTTTACAATCGGATGGGCTAGATTCTAGGGGGAGCTGGTTAGCACCTCCCTCTGAATACCCTTCACTGCCTGCTTTCAGGGGGTGGCCCTGGTGATAATTCACTCACCTGAAGGCTGTCACTCACCAGACAGCCCTTGCAGTTAACTTCTAGGTGGAGACAGTTGATTGGATGACAGACAAGAGGCAAGAAACAGTCATGACAGGCACAAACGGGAAAAAAAAGATATCTGGGCTTTCAGAACATTCTCCTGACCAGCAGAACCCATGCCACACCCTGGAATACCCAACCTGGAGTGAGAATAGCACACAGCAGTAACTAAGCTGCTGGGGGCAATACAGGCCCCATGTGCAAGACAGACTTCAAGAGCCAGAGGACCTGGAAGAGGGCTGGGCAGGGGAGGAGTCTTGGAAAGGCCCTGGAAGGAAGCTGACTGAGGTGGCTCTTGAGTGAGGCCAGAGCTGGGCCCCAGTGTTGGTCCTGGGGAACCAACCAGCAGTGACTAAACCCGGTGGCTAACCCACAGTGGAGACCTGTGAGTGCTGGCCGAGGAACTCACACTGCTCCCAAAGGCTGAAGCTCACCGGATATTCAAGCCTAGAAAATGATAACATAAAAATGTATATCAGAAACAGTTGTAAATGTATTTCTATTCTCTTAGGACACTAGAATTTGAACTCGGGGCCTTACATGCTAAACAAGAGGCCTGCTGCCAGCCCCAATAGATTTCACTGTTTAACTGCCACTTTTTGTACCACCTAATTAATTAATTACCTTTAAGACAGGGTCTCAGACATCCCACGGCTGGCCTTCAAGTCACTATTATTCTACCTCCACCTCCCTGTCCTGGCTGTGCCATCACATCTGATTTTATTCTGTGATGGACAACCCCAGGAATGCATGCATGCTAGATGGTCATTCTCTCAGCTGAACCACACCCTCAGCTGCAGCAACTGAAGTTTCTAAACCACGCACAGGTGTATGTTTATACAAAAACTGCTTTTTAAAGCGCTCAAAACGTACCTGGGGTGGTGTCCCATGCCTTTAACCCCGAACGTTCAGGGGCAGAAGTAGGTGAATCTCTGAGTTCCAGGACAGCCCAGGCTACACAGAAAAACCCTGTCTCAAAACAAAATAACATTTATAACGTATGCAAACAGTTGAATTGTAACTGAAGCAGTGTCTGCGTCCTTTAATCCCAGCACGCAGGGTGGAGGGAAAATGGCGGAGGGATCGCTGTGAGTTTGAGGACAGCTTGATCTACGTAGCGAGTTCCACCCAGCCAGCCAGACAGTGAGACTCACAAAATAGATGAATTATTAATAAAGTAGCAGCAACAACAACAAAAACCAAGCACTGTAGGTTCTGGAGGGAAACCACAGGAAGGGCCTGAGGATCACAAGTCCGAGGGCACCGCGGGCCACACCACCGACAGCCCTGCTATGCGGAGAAGTGGGGACAGGGATGGTGTTTGTGTACCATCTCAAAAGCAGCCAGTGGGTGGGGCTCACCGGCTACAGGCTGCCAGGGGAGTGCTGCCGGGCCGAAGGAGGTATTTTCTTGGTTTTGTGATAAATGAGGAACTCTCCCCTCAACCAGATAGCCAGCCTAGCCTTTCCCTAATCCCTTCCTTAAGAAAATGTGATTCCGCAAAGAAACGTTATTCCAAAAATGCCCAGAAGATGTCGCTGCAGACAGCACCAAGTGCACTGTGCTCCTCTTGGCGGCTGAATTCTGAATTTCAACCTGTCCTGCAAGAAAAAGTTCCAACCTGGCTCTCTGCCTTCTCTGGAAAGCGTGCTTCCGCTTTGCTTGTACAACCCCGTCTTCCCTTGTCCCCACGCTCTCGGCTCTCAAGTCCAGCTTGATGCCCCTCAGATGTTCTGGGGGCGGACTTGAGTCCTTCAAGATGATGGTGCCAACAAGGGGACCTGATTCTACAGTGACTTCCTTGCTCTCTCTTCACCATCAAAATCATGAAATTATTTGTCACAATCCATGCCCATGCAGACATCACCACCCAGCTTCCTCACGACCCCTTCAAGTTTCAGTCATTGTATCCCCTTTTTCTCCCAGTCTGGTAAATCGGCTCCATTTTCAAATACCAGCCTCAGGTGACTTAGTGAGATCTCAATTCACCTGACTTTCTGAAAACATCAGTGTTCTTAACAAAAGTATTCCCGGACCCTGAGCACAGAAATAGCACTAGTCTATAGGAAATGATGCGCATCCCCGAGCCATGCTAAGTCACTTATCTAGAGGGAACATGACAGTCATGAACCCGACTCCAACAGCTGAGACCTAGTTAAAAAGAAATTCCAGGCCAGGGTGTGCCTTTCCTGCTCATCACTCCCAGCTACGGCTCTTCTGCTGCTGCCTACCGCTTACTTTTACTGTGCAAAAATTAGCTAAGCCTTGATTTGGGACCCTCTGTCCTTACAGGTGCCCAACTCACAGAAGCCTTAGGGACAAGACTTTAGTCCTTACCCCAGTGTTGGGAAGACTGAGAACAGTATGTAAGGGAGGCCCAGAGCTGCCCACAGGAAAGTGCAGAGGTCAAGGTTCCCTTACCCTGTCATCTAAACCAATCTTTCTGTTTTTCTTTGTCCAAACCATTCTTGAAACTCAGACCATGACAGCAAGGGCTTCTACTCCCAGATAGCTGCTGCAGGTGGGCTGGGCTTGTGGCCCTGGCTGAGAAAGCTCAGTGACCCCCCCTCTCCTCGTTATGCTGCCCATAGACAAGGACCTCTGTGTACCTAAGAGCTGGCAGGTATCAGCCTCTTACAGACAGTCTGCCTTCCTTCTAAGCCTCCTCCTCCCCTGACTAAACTCAGAATGAATTTGCACCTGAGAGCAGGAGCAGCTGCCTATGATGGAGTCGTGTGCTGTCAAACCGCCACTGCATTCCCGGCCGGGGCTCTCCCCAGAACACAACAGAGATGAACAATCTTAGCACCTGAGCCCGTTGCCTGGTTACTGTCAACAAGCAGAGAGGCGGGAGCCAGTTCTGGCCAGGCCTGACATTGCGGGCCTCCGCCCACCCTGCAGCGACTTCCCCCGTGAGCAGAAGCCATGTACCGGTGATTACTGAAAAAGTCAGACGTGCGAGCAGATGCTCGTAGCCCTCTTGAGGAAAATCAAAGCCATGTTGGACTCGTTATGTTTTACAATGTAGAGTTGAAACGCTTGTTTGTGGGAGGGATGACTCTTGAGTCCCTAGTTCTAACCTGGCCTGCCGAAAGTGACCTAGCACATTCTAAATGGAGACACACACACACACACACACACACACATGCGTGCGCATGCTCTCGCATGACAGCTGCCCAATACGTAGACGGAGGCACATGAGTAGAAGCAAGAGCCTCCCCAAAACAATATTTACACGGTACCGTGGCTGACGCACGGCCTGTGCGGCCTACTTAGCCAAAGCATGCAGAAGTGCATGCTGTTTGGTCTTCATGATTTTTTTTGTATGAATGAATGGCGAAAATGAAAAGGTCCAGCTGCTCCTCTCCACGGGGTCTGTTCTGGAGTATGTTAATATACCCAATGGCACCCACTCAGCTGGAGAAAACCGATTTTCCCTTTGCCAGCAGGTGTCAATCTCAAAAAAGTTCCTTGGTTAAGGGTGAGACCTGGTAACCACATCTCTCTCTCAGTGCTGGGACTGTTTCAACCTATTATTTTTTGGTTTTTGCAGAGAGAGAGTTTCTCTGCGTAGCCCTGGTTATCCAGGAACTACTCTGTAAACTCAGGCTAGCCTCAAACTCAGAGGTCTGCCAGGCTCGGCCTCTGAGTTTTCATAGTTTTGAAAAATTAAGCATGACAGGTCAGTGCTTTATCTGTGAGTTCTCTCCCCAGGCCTCCTCTCATTACTTTGAGGCAGGGTCTCACTATCCAGGCTGGCCTTGAACTCTTTTGGTAGTCAGGCAGGTCTTGAACTTCTGATCCTCCTGCAGCAGAGCTCTTGAGAGCTGGAATTACTAGCCCATGCCACCAGGCCTGGCTGTCATATGTCTTAAAAATTGAAAAAACTCAGAAAACCTAGCTAGGCCACAAAGGAGGACATTGGAGCCAGTCCTGGAGAGACCTGATAGGTTAGGGTCAGATGGAAGGGGAGGAGATGGGGGGGGGCGGTTTAAGAGGGAATGAGGGAGAGGGTTACAGCTGGGATACAAAGTAAATAAACTGTAATTAATATAAAAAATAAAAAATAGAAAGAAAAAACTCAGCCAGGCATAGAGGTACATCATTCAGGGAGCAGAGGTAGGTGGGTTGCTGTGAGTTCAAGGCCAGCCTGGTTGACAAAGCAAGTCCAGGACAGCCAAGGCTACACAGAGAAACCCAGTCTTGAAAAAAACAAAAACAAATAAGACATTTTTTTTAATGGAAAACTCCACATCAATGTTCATATTTTTTGTCAGCTGGGTGTGGTGGCACACGCCTGTAATCCTAGCACTCAGGGAGGCAGAGGCAGGCAGATTTCTGTGAGTTCCAAACCAGCATGGAAACAGGACAGCCAAGACTACACAGAGAAATCCTGTCTCAGAAAAAAACCCAGATAGATAGATACTCAGTTTTTTGCTTTTTCTTTTAATAAATGGCAAACAAACGAAATACCAAGCACATCAGAGTGACACGGCCTGACTTCAAAGGGAGGAAAGTTAAGTTCGGCTCTGGCAGCCGAGAGCCCACCTCTTCCTTTGGACGGTTCTCCGGAGAGGCCTGCCCTCGTAGGTAGGAATGTCATGTTGACATCCTGTAAGGCTTTCATCTCCACTACAAGGTCGGGTTTGAAGCAAGGGAAGGGCACTATGGCTTTGACTGTTTATTTTTATCTGGGTGCAAATGGCTGGCCGGACAGCTGCCTTTCTGTGGGAAAAGCTCCATAGCTGGGGAGGGGCGCGGGTGGGGCTCCCAGGGTCTCCGGCGGAGCGGATGCTGGCTACCGCAGAAGCCCGAGCTACCCACAGATTGCTCACTTGTATTCATGCTGTCTGGCCACTGCATATGTCTACCACGTTTGCCCTTCTAGGTCTCCTCTGTGGCCCGGCTGCACCAGGACCGGCAGTCTCATTCAGGAATTGCGCTGAGGCCGAAACAAGTTGGGATTCATTGGCCCAGACAACTGACATAAGCCAGGCTGTCCACAGTGGGGACGTGGAGAGGGCGAGGAAGGGAAGGGTGGGACCACCTGGCTGAACTTGTATGAAATCTCCCTAAAGGTAGGGGGCTGGTCTCCCCGGGAGGGCTCCTAACGGGCCGACGCTCCCCGGGCAAGTGCTTCCATCCACCAGTCGCCAGCCCAGAACACCAAGTCGCCACAAGGTACAACTTACTATTTTTTGCCTTCTGCATTAAAAGGAAAAAACGATTGAGGCGTAGTTCAGTGTTAAAATGAGTGTTTATCACCTCTGCAAGAGATCCCGGGGTCCTTTCCCGGTGCTCTACACACAAACACCAGGCCAGGGCTGGACAGGGCGGTGGACAATTGCAATCCCAGCACCCGGGAGGCTGAGGCCAGCTGGAGCCCCACGGCAAGACCTTGTCTCAAAAGAAAAAAAATATAAAGCACTAACATTTTAAAAGTGGTCCAGCTTAGAGAGAGCGTTTGACAGTGGGGGAAGAGCTGAAGTAGAGACGGTCTCTCCACGCTGAAAAGCGAGACATTTTCGTTGTCTAGTGTCTTCCTACCTGCTGCACGTGACGCAGAGCAAACCTGTCGGCTCACTTTAGTAAATCAACACAGTGTCCCTGAGCTGCAGGTAAACAGAAGGTAACTCCCCGGGAATTCCCAGGGACGGACTAGTCACCAGGCTCAGCACCTCCCAGATTTTTCAAAGGGTTTTGTGATAACCCAGAAACGCCGGGCCGACTCCTACCACTAGGTGTCACAGTGAACAATGTGGAGGTAGATCCCAGGGCCTGAGGCGGCGGCGGGGGAGGGGGGGACATCTCAAAGGCGAAAATACTCGGACTAAACACGTTTGTACACTTGCAGCCAAATCCTTTGTAAGTGGGGCTTGGAGGTCACACTTAGGTCATTTTATTTCACAAAGGTTAACTTCACGTGTGTTCATTAAAACAGAATGCATTGTTTAAATTTTTATTAGTTAAAAATGTTTACGAATGTGACTGTTTTGCCTGAATGTATGTATGGGCATCACATTCATGCTTGGTGCCCGAAGAAGGTGTTGGATACCCCGGAACTGGAGTTACAGGCCCCCTGTGTGGGTGCTGGGACTCAAACTCTGGGAGAGCAGCTAGTGCTCTTAACTGCTGAGCCAGCCCCCTAGCCTATGCCATGCATTTTTAGAGAACTGTGTTCAGATGGAAAAACACCTCTACTTTCTCTCCCAGGTGGAAGGAAAAATACCTTTTTTTTTGCATGGGGGAGAGGGGAAGGAAGGCAGGGCTTTTCAAGAGACGGTCTTATGTTGCCGATGTTGGCCTCAGACTAGGCTAAATACTTTTTAGTATATTCCAAATTCTACTATATTTGGTCTCTGTTTTGCAAGGTGTTTCCAAGTGTTAACATGACATCTACTTTAACAAAATGATTAAAACACTGTGGTAGAAATTAGACAGACGTTGGGTGCCTTCATAAATTTCTAGGTATTATTGTGTTTTCTCTTTAGGAAATTGGCAACAATACCTAGCTCTTACAATACTACTTCTGAGAACCAGCCTGACGCATAAAGGGAGGGGAGGGGGGTTCCTCTAAGAATTTTTACTACAATATTTCCAAATGTCCATGCTCATACTCTGAAGACAGAGCGGGGCATGTATCTGCAGAGAAATGATACCATCACGAAGCCACAAGACATCTTCAGTGTTCCAGAACTGGTGGGCACACATCTACAATGCCGCTGGGGGAAGCTGAGGCAGACGTCTCCCTAACCGTGCACGGTTAACCTGGACAACACAGTGAGTTGTAGAGCACCCTGGGGCTACAATGTAAACCTGGTCTCTGACTGCCTCGCCAGCACAGATCCAGTCTTCCTATAAAAGCAAGTGTACCACAAAACAAGCGGCTTCTCCATCTAATGTATTTAATGGAAACAGATGGGGCTAGAGAGGTAGCTGAGTGGTTAAGAGCCCCGGCTGCTCTTCCAAAGGACGCAGGTTCAATTCCCAGGACCCACATGGCAATACACAACTGTCTATAACTCCAGTTCCAGTGGATCTGACACCCTCACACGTACATACATGCAGACAGAACACCAATGCACATAAAATAAGTAAATCTTAAAACAAAAAAATATATATATTTAATGAAAGACAGAGCCTGGAATTGGAATCTCCTACTTATAATCATTCTCACCTTGTCTCAATAATTGTATATTTGCAGATCAAGCCTGAGAATTCACTGGGAAAGTTTTCATTTTAACATGATCCTTACTGTCTGGAGACTTTTGTTTTTTAGGGTTTTTGGTGTGGTGATGGTATTTTGGTTTAGTTTTGTTGTTTGTTTCCTGGATTTTCCATCTCTTCCCCCAGGGTCTTCACAGTCATATTCGGGGGTGAGGGGTAGCGATGACGTTACGAAGAGGCCTTATGTACAGGGTTCATCAAGAAAAAGATCATTCAAACCCCACCAGAAATCTATGCAGAGCTATAGAGGCCTCTTGGGCCTCTATTTCTGACAGACTCTAATCCAAGATGCTTCAATTTTCCCGAGCTAATTCTAGAAGCGGTTGATGGATTCCACTCACACCTGCAGGCTCAGAGGGGAGATGGGTGGATGCAATGCTTCTATTCCTGCAGGTCAAACTAGAGGCTCTCAGGCCCAAGTCCCTTCCTCTGGGGAGAAGCTACCCACAGTGCTGTATCCGGCCAGAGCCAGTAGGGTTCACATGTGGTCAGTGTTAGGACTGCAGCCTTCAGCCTCCTGCAGGATGTCTCACCACAACTTTCTTAGCCAAGTTTAAGGGCAAACCTTGGCTAAGGCACTAGACCAGTTACTCTGCTAGGCATTCACAATAAGCTCAGGCTCCATCCTCTGCAACAAGAGTTAACTATTAGAGCAGTTACTGTTGCAAGGAAGCTACAGCTTCTACAAAGATCAACACCTTGCTTTACTTGAAAAAAAGAAAAGAAAAGTGGTTCCTATTTAGTACTTTCCCCATACAGAGCCGGAGTTTGCACCTCCCCCGGGCGACAAGATTATCGACTCCTAGGAAATAATCTAGGGATTCTCCAAGCGTTTGGGGTTTTTTTTGTTTGTTTGTTTGTTTAATGTCAAAGCTTCCACGGTTTCAAGGGATAGGAGTGAGAGACAGCCAAATGTCCCTGCGCAGCAAAGGAGTGCAGAGGGGAAGCAAACCCCTGCACCCAGCCAGCCAATTTCCACTCTTGGGTTTTCAAAAGATCAAAAACCGGAAAGGACCTGCCAACTGGCAGATCCGTCTAGGAGGAACCGCCAGCAGGTTCGCGTCCTCGGGATCTCAGCAGCTCTGGACCCCGAATCGAAATCGACGGTGGGAAACCCCAAGGAAAGAAGGGTGCTTGCAGAGGGGTTGGGGTTACTGAGTGCAGGCTGCAGGGAAGTACCTAGAGGGAGGGGGGCCCGGCCGGGAGGACTTTCCAGACACTCAGGGCTCATGAAAAAGTTCCCTGTCCCTGACCCCAGTGGCTCATCGCAGGGAGTTTCTCCGATGAACCCCGGCCCCGGGTTGAGGCTCCTGCAGCGGAGGACGAGCCAGTTCTTTTTCTAGTCTGACTGGCTTGGAAATTCCCCGCGCCTGACCCCGCCCCGAGAAATCCCCTGCCAGCGTTTATAGGGCGCCGAGGCGGCGCTGCCGAGCGCACAGCCGCCGGAGCGCACAGCCGCCGAGCCCGCCGCCCAGCCCGCAGCCCTCGCAGCCCCGCACAGCCATGTTTCAGCCAGCCGGCCACGGCCAGGACTGGGCCATGGAGGGCCCGCGGGACGGCCTGAAGAAGGAGAGGCTGGTGGACGACCGCCACGACAGCGGCCTGGACTCCATGAAGGACGAGGAGTACGAGCAGATGGTGAAGGAGCTGCGCGAGATCCGCCTGCAGCCGCAGGAGGCGCCTGCGGCCGCCGAGCCCTGGAAGCAGCAGCTCACGGAGGACGGAGACTCGTAAGTGGCGGCGGCCGGGCGGGCGGGCGGGCGGCCGGGGCCGTGCGCGGCGGGGCCTCCCCACCCC